CACCGAGACATAGAACCTTTGTACAGAGGCAACGGCGACGCCGTATGCTGGCTGTAAGACGCCGGGCATCGATTCTGATCCAGGGTGTATATCGTAGACGATGGAGCACAGTTATACACCTTCGTCAACGGTACGACGGGGGAGGAAGATGGCGACGTGCGCCTTGAGGCTATGCCTGCAGTAGATGCTCTTCTTGAGCTGGACGAGATGTCCTTTGAAGAGTTCGGCAGTGCCTTGAAGGCAGGCGATTCGGCCGATGTGGTCAGTGTACGACCGGTCGGGGAGATAAACTCGTCATCGCTTCTGGATGAAGCTATCTTGGAGGACACCAAGAGAGTGCCGAACGCACGAAGTGGATTTCGATCCTACGGAATCCCTTGGATCCGTACTATCCTTTGGTAAAGGAATTTAAAGACGTCGTCTCCAAAGTCCCGCCTTCGGTCCTACTTCCGGACCGAGGTGTGCGTCATGAGATTGACCTGGTTCCGGGAACCAAATACCCCGTAACACGCCAATGGCCTCTGTCCAAGGAGCAGTACGACGTCATTGACGCCTTTTTCTGTGCAAAGCACGACGCAGGGGTGGTACGTGAGAGCAAGTCTCCCCATTCGAAAACCACGTTTTGTGCTCGGTAGCCGAACGGCAAGTGGCGTATCGTTCATGCTTACAATAAGCTCAACGCTGCCACTCTCCGGCTCAAACACCAATTCCTAGAAAGGATGTTCTTCAGAACAACATGGTGGGATGTACGAAGCACAGTAAACTTGATTTGGTAGATGGATACTACCAATTGCTCATAAGAGCGAGTGACATTCTGCTGACAGCGGTAAGCACTCCGAGCGGCATGCTCTGGGAGTTGCTGGTGATGTCCCAATGGCCTATCAAACGCACCAGCAACATTTAATCGTCTTGTGACGCAGTTATTCGGGCCCCACAGGGCGTATGCACAGACATATTTTAACGAAATTTTTTTTCACAGCCGTGCGGAGCACGGGAGAATGGATGAGGAGAACCGCATCGTCTATCTAAGAGCGGTGCTCGAGTGCATGCGCACTAACAAACTGTACGCCAATGCCAACAAGTGCATTTTTGGCACAGAAGAGATTCCCTTTTTAGGCATTGGGAAACGTGGCCTTCGAGCGGATCCCGCTAAGGTTAAGGCCATTGTAGATTGGCCGGATCCAAAGAGCAAGAAGGAATTGCGTAAGTGGCTTGGTCTTGCCAATTACTTGCACAAGTACAGCGTAAACTACGCAG